TCTAGGCATTTAAGCATGGGGGTGGAAATTCCTCTTCGATACAATTCTTTGCCGAGAAGAAGGTATTTGGCTGCATGTGCTTTAATTTTCTTAGCTGCTGCTACGTCCTGTGGGAGACTGCCATCAGTGAGGTATCGGACGAGAGGGGTCATCCAATTATGAGATGAATTTTCTATGTCTATGCATTCTTGTTTGGTGACACTAGGTTGGGGGATTTGTTGGTGAACCATGCTCTGCAGCTGCCCTGGTTTCCGTTGGCTTGCCAGCCTAGCTAGCCTGTCGGCTCGTACGTTTATATTTCGGGGTGTGTACCGAATACATACCTCCTCAAACTCGGCTTTTATTTTCTTAACCTCCTGGTAATATTTAAGCATGACTGAGTCCCTGATCTGATAGGTATCGTTAACTTGTTCGGTTACGATTTTTGAATCGCTCCAAGCAGTAATGCGTTTAACCCCCATTTCCCTTGCTAGCCTGAGACCGGCGAGTAAAGCTTCATATTCGGCTTAATTGTTGGATGCCTTAAATCCGAACCGGATAGACTGTTCAGTGGCGAACGCATTCGGTCCTTCAAGAATGACCCCCGCTCCACTGCCTGTTTGATTTGATGACTCATCAACGTGCAGATTCCACATGTCTGAAATGGTATTATATTGTGTAGTAAACTCGTTGATGAAGTCGGCTAACAGCTGGGCTTTAAGGGGGCGTCGGTTCTCGAAATGGATGTCATATTGAGATAATTCAATTGTCCATGCCACCAACCGACCAGCTAATTCTGGTTTCCTCAAAATTTTGGCCATCGGACAATCTGTACGTACTACCATTCGATGGCTCTGAAAGTAGTGTCTTAACCGACGAGCTGTGTGGACTATGACAAGTACCACTTTCTCCATTAGCTGGTACCGAGATTCAGGACCTTGAAGTGTCCTGCTAACAAAATATACAGGGTTCGGTTCGGGTGTTTCTTGAAGTAAAACCGAACTAACGGCGTGATCGGACACGGCCAAATAAACAATCATTTCTTGATTTGGTGTTGGTTTAATCAACACAGGCGGTGCTGCCAGCACATCCTTGTATTGTACAAAAGCGTCCTCACATTCATTGGACCACGCAAATTTTTGCGATTTCTTCAACAATTCAATGAAAGGCCGAGACCTTTCTACCATTACTGGCAAGAATCTAGCCAGGGCTGCAATCCGCCCGATCAGTCGTTGCACATCCTTGACATTGCGGGGGCTGGCCATGTCGATGATGGCTTTACATTTGTCGGGATTTGCCTCAATCCCCCTTTCGGACAACATGAAGCCCAAGAATTTACCGCCAGCTACACCAAATGTACATTTTTCAGGATTGAACCTCATACCATGTTTTCTGGCTTCTCCGAATACCTCCTCTAAGTGGTCAAGATGTTGCTTCAATGCAAGGGATTTAATTACCATGTCTTCTACATACACCTCCATGCATTTACCCACTTGTTTTTCAAAAATTTTGTTCATGAGTCGCTGGTATGTTGCTCCTGCGTTCTTCAAACCAAACAGCATCACCCGATAACAAAAATTTGCAGAATTTGTGATGAATGCTGTTTTTTCCTCATCTAGGGGGTACATTCGTATTTGATTATACCCAGAATAAGCATCCAAAAAGCTCAGTATTTTGTGACCGGCAGCACCATCGACCAAGGTGTCAATGTTTGGTAGGGGGTATGCATCCTTTGGGCATGCTTTATTGAGGTCCATGAAGTCCGTGCACATTCGCCATTTGTCATTGGCTTTTTTGACCATGACAATGTTGGCTAACCATGTTGAATACCGGACCTCTCGGATGAAGCCAGGCTGTATTAGTTTGCTGGTTTCTTCTCTTACCGCTTTTGTTCTATCACCACCAATTTTTCTCCTCTTTTGAGCTACCAGCTTGGCTCCTTTATAGACCGACAAGTGGTGACATAGAAATGCTGGATCAATGCCAGGCATATCCAAGGCTGTCCAAGCAAACAAATCGGCATTATCTACTAGTATCTTTTGGAGAACGGCTTTCTCTTGTTCGTTCAAACCGATCCCTAAATACGCAACTTGTTCTGGCATTGCTCCTAGTTGGAAAGATTGTTTGTTTTCATTGGGCTCGACTCGATATTCCTCATCCACCCTAGGATCGAGTTCAACATCCAACTCTTCTTCCAACCGAGGGGATACAATATTGACATCCCGGGTATTCCCCTGAAAGGGCTTAAGGCGTAAACTTGCGAAGTAACATTCCCTGGCTGTTTTTTGATCGGCATGGACGGTAACAATTCGGCCTCCTTCAGATGAAAATTTCATGGCCAAGTGCGGAGTGGAAACTACGGCCTTCAATTTGTTCAGGGATGGTCTACCGAGTAGTATATTATAAGATGTGTTCGCGTGTACTACAAGATAAGTGACTCTTATGCGTTTGCCCTCATGCTCTGATCCAAACGAGGTATACAAGTCGATACACCCCTTGGTCTCTACTCGTTCCCCGGAAAAACCGACCAATGGCTCATGATATTCCTTGAGTTCTTGTTCTGAGATGCCTAATTGCTTGAATGTATTCCAGTATAGGATATCAGCCGAGCTCCCTTGGTCAATTAGCGTTTTTCGAACAGTGCAGTTAAGAATGTCTACACTAATTACCATGGGATCATCCTGTACCGGATCGACTCCCTGAAAGTCGTCGTCAGTGAACGTAATAGGCGGGATCCGAATTTTGCTGCCCAATGAAACATTATTAACAGAATGGACATGCCGAAGATGCCTCTTTCTAGCCGAATGGGTAGGTCCTCCACCAGCAAACCCTCCGGCTGTGGTGTTAATGACCCGTTTCGGATATTTATCTTGTTCAAATCTTCTAGGTGGGGGCTCCCTGGACCTGCTCCTGTGCCGTTCAAATTTTTTGTCGTCGGATCTCTTTGGTGAATCAGGGTGGCGGTCTCTTCCTTTGTTGGGTTGCCTTATGGGATCTGTCTGTACGAAATTTTTCAGGTGTCCACCTTTAATCAATTCTTCAATTTTGTCTCTTAGCGTCATACACTCCTCGGTAGTGTGACACCTGTTCTGATGGTATCGGCAAGACTTACTTTTATCTGCCCGAGGAGGAGTGTTAGCGCGTCTAAGCATTCTCAATATTTCTGTGGCCAACGCTTGATCAAGTATTCTGGACTGATTAGAGTTAAGCGTCGTGTAGGAAGGATACTTCGGTCCTCAAAGTGGTCGCTCAAGTTCTTTTCCTCTATCATTCCCCCACCTTGTTTTAAAGGTCTCCCTTCTTTCTTCATTTTTTGAGTTAGATCCTTGCTCCATCCGTACCTGGCTCCAGTATTCGGATAATTCTTCCATTTACATATATTTCGCAGCCCGGCTCCTTAACTCATCTAGGTCGATCGGGGGTTTTTTGCAGAGGTTATTAACGAAAGGTCCCGGCTTCAACGTTGTTGTTAGGTGGTGCATAGCCACTGCTGGTTCCAAGTTATGAATTGAAAGAGTCACTTTGCCAAAGCGTTCCATGAACGCTCTAAGTGATTCTCCTTTCTCTTGGCGAATATTGACTAGGGCCAAGGATGTTAGTGGATGGGTCGGCTTGTGGCGAACTGCAAGTTGAAACGTCTTGTGAGAGTTACGAACGAGTCGATGAAGAGGGGGAGGAGTCGGGTGAACCAACTAAGCGCAGGTCCTCGAAGTGAAGTAGGAAAGATTCTGCACTATAAGGCATCGTTTTCTGTGTACAGACTGACCTGTGTTGTAAAGATGTCCACATGTTCTCCGGGGTCGGATGTGCCATCGTATTTGTCTATTGCCAACCCTCTCCAATTATCCGGCAGCTTAGCTTCTAGAATGCGATGAATGAACGGGCTCCGGTTCACATGTTCGTCTCAGTCGTTTCCGGTTACCGATTGATATACCTGTCTTGACTTTTCTTGCAGCGCTGATGATTCTCCTTGATCTTGGACGACGGGAGTAGTAAGGGAGGGGACATGTGTCCTTATTTCTTCCCTTAGGCTGGCATTTTCCCTTCTTAGGGCTGAGAGCTCCAGTGCATCTCTTTCGCGATCCTTCTTCATCTCTACCATTTCTGCCCTTAGCTGCCTCAGTACAGCTAGAATGCTTTCTTCCGTTCCTCCCTGTATCACCACTTCCGGTACTGGTTCCTCTGGCGTGACGCCCTCCATTTGTTGCCTAGAAGTTCCTTCCTGCTGGCTTCTCGTCATTACCATGCTTAATCCTGAGTGATGAAGCTAATCGGGCCCCACGGTGGGCGCCAAAATGTTCCTTCCTGGGAAACAACTGTCTTCAAACCTCTGGTCAGGCATCCTTCTTGTTGATTTGCTGATAAGGAGAATACCTGCAAAAGGCACTCCGATGGTAAAGTCAGGATTCGGTTCTGAGCAATAAATATTTTTTAATGATGGGAAGTCAACCCCTTACCTGTATTTCTTATCTTCTTTTTATAGACATTATATTGGGCTAATGGGCCTGAGTCAGTTTTTATATTGAGGCCCATAGTATTTTAATTATCTTTAATTGGATTATTTACCTTTTGATCCTGACGAGGGGTACTCGGTTTAGTATGCCGAGTAGGTATTCGGTTTCTTTTTCCTGAGGGTGGAACCGAGTTGGTTCCTTTCCCAGTACAATAACAAATAAATTTTTTTCCCACCAAACACGTCTAAATAGTTTGTAGTTTGTTTAATATAATTAATATTTGTTTTAGGCCTTTTATAATAATTACGAAGAAACTGATTTGTACACTTCAAAATTTTAGAGAATAATTGGTACATGATTCAAATATTTGGAGGCAAATTGTATTTTTTTTTTCCATAAAAAAATAATACGTTTATTCTTTTATTTAGGGCCACAGAGCCTGGTACATAATTAATTCACTTAGTTGGCAAGAGCAATAGTAGGTAAGGTAGTTTCGATTTAAGGTTGGAGATGGCCTCATGCTCTTCAATATCTTTTTTAGGTCATTCTTATCTGTTACATTTATTTCCTCTGCTACGTGTTTCTCTCTTCATCATGTCTCTTGCTGGTAAACTTAGCGCCGAAATTGGAATCCACACACCCGCTGCGACGCTGTTCAACTTCTACACAACGCAGCTCCACCACATTCAAAACATTTCTGATACAGTGCATGCAACCAAACTCCATCAAGGTGATGAGTGGCATAGCAATGATTCCATCAAACACTGGACTTATACAGTAGGTAATTAAGCTTATAATTAGATTAAGAGTTTTATTAATCAATAGTTCTTTGAGTTAAGGGATTAATGATAACAAATATTAAAAGTTATGTTCAGCCTGCACTGAGAATTATCGTGAAGACACATTAATAATATTTTAGTTTTAATTTTTAACCATGGTGAGACACTGGTTAGCATTTTAACAAAACCCAAATCTAGTATTATTAAAGTTTTTGTTGATGTTATCTTGTTAAAATTAGAACTTCATCTCACTAATTTAATATTAAAGGACAACACCTAAATTTTGCCAAAGTATTTATCTAAAATTAATTTAAAAATAATATTAACATCAACAGTAAAAGTAAAATATAAGTAATTAAAAATGAAAAAAAAGGTTAAAAAATATTTATACATAATAATAAAAATAATATAATAAATACTTTTCTTTAATAAAATAACAACTTTTCATTTTTAGACCTAGAACATTAACAAAACAATAAAATTACAAACTGCAGAATAGATTATTAGTTAGTTAATTTTTAAGAGAAAAGTTGATCAATATCGTAAATATACTGATTAGAAAATAATTTTATTTTTGTTAAAAAGAATTTTTAAATACTACTTATATTTTTATTTAGCTACTTAGAAAGAACCGAAAGATTTTATTCTTATTTTTCTTTAGTTAATATTCTTTATTCCAATAAAATAATTATATTATTTGAGTAGTTTAAAAATAAAAAAATCATTAATAAAAAGTAAATAAATAAGTTTAAAATGATTGAATGCTTGATCAATGTATTTTATAAATATGAAAAGAGATAATGCATTTTCCTATACTTTTTAGAATTTATTAATTTTAACCATTAAAATAGTTGAGTTTAAGTATTTAAATAGGGTACTTTTTTATTAAAAATATATTCATTACCAATATAAAGTATACTTTTATTTAAAAGTAATTCAACTTTAAATATCAATGTTAATATTTGTATTTAGAAGTATATTTTAACGCAATAACAAATTTATTTATTAATTCCTTACCAAATGTCGTAACGATGATAATTAAAAAAACCTATTTTATTATAGTCATACAATTGTTTTTTTGTTCTTTTGGTGTGGTATTGATTACTTCTGAACCTACAGAGGGTAAGGTTGTGACGTGTCACGAAATTATGGAATCCATTGATGAACAGAACAAAACAATCACATTTAAACTCTTCGGTGAAGATATTGATCAGCACTTTAAGGTCTTTAAGCTCATCTTTCAAACGATGAATAAGAATGATGGCAGTGCTACTATTAAATGGACTATTGAATTTGAGAAAATCATGAGGATGTTCAACTCCCTTTTGGCTTCCTGGAATTCTGTACCAAATGCGTTAAAGACGTTGATCGTCATCTTTTCAAGGGAGAGCCCCAAAAGCAATAAAAAGAAGGAAAACAAAGTAAGTTCAGATAAACTTATAAAAAAGATAAAATTAATATAATAAAAATAATTTATTTCCTTAAATTTTAAAAAGTTAAATATTTTTTTAAAAAATAAATAAGAAGCATAAATTATGTTTAACTTATTACTATTTCATTTTTCTTTCATAAATACTTAACCAGTAAATTTATCTAAATTGTGTCACAGCGTGTTTAGCTGCAAATGCTTATCTATGTAATGCGTCTGGAGCTTGACATTGAAGAATAAACTTGGAGGAGCATGTCGGTGATTTCTTCAAGAATGCATTAAACTATAGGTAAAAATGGAATACTGTTGATAAGGTTTGTTAACGTGAAAAGAAAAAGATTTGTGCTTTATTTTCTGTTGAAAAACTGTAGCATATTTAGATATACTGTATAATTATTTCTAGTTCAATTCTAAATGCTTAGATTACTCGTAGTTTTGTTATTTATTGTATAAAATATAACATAATTATCATAATAAAATTTTAATTACTTAACTTACAATATGAAGTCTTGTTAAGCCTCCATTTTCTTTAAAATATAAGCGAGTGATTACTTCATCTAATTTTAACTACCATTATCTAGAAGATTGTTTTGAATCATAAATGAATTTTTTTTGTTAACTTATAAACCAATTGTTCATTACACATCCCTTAAGTTACGTTATTGCATTTACATTACTTCAATGAAATTAACATTTAAGAAAGTTATTTTAACATTTACCTAGTGTAACTCTTAATTAAAGTTACACAAATACGAATTAAATATTTTTTTTTCTACATTTTTTAGACTTTGGTTTTTGTTCCTTCGACTTTTTTCATTGTTTTAGTCCCCAATTTTTCTAAAATTAGCCCTTTTGGTCTCTAATAATCACTAAATGATGACATGATTAACAAAGACGTGTTGATTATTTGTGTTGCCACATTAGTGAGAGGGATTAGAGCACCTAAGTTACACAAATAGAGGTTCAAAATTGAAAGACTCAAGAAAATGTAGGGACGGAAAACATAGCTAAGCTTGAAAGAAAAATATCTACTGTGCTACAAGGGAACAGATAAGGTAACCAACTTTACTGGATAATTTGATCACTCTGCTGAAAGATATGACACAACCTTCAAATTTCAATAGCATAAGCTACAAACATAAAATGTCATATAGGCAAACAGAAAAACAAAGTGATGTAGGATTTCCAAGAATACTAGCTCATCCACTTTTTCTCTTTTTTAATGGATACCTTTAAATGAGTAAACGAAAAATTAGGTAAATAGCTACACACCTTAGTTCTCATGCATAACCTCAAAAACACAAGAAAACAAAGGAATAGTACATGTCCTTAAAATGAAAATTTTAAATGATTTTACATCTAATTTTTTCTACCCTTATTTCTTTTGTTTGATACTACAACACATCTATCATCTGCTTCACCTGCAACCTCCGGCAAAGGGCCATTTACTTGCATGTTCACTGAATTTGTGTTCAATTCAGATGTTGGAATATCCACATTCATGTATGAAGTATTGTTGTCTCCAATAATGTTTTCGTCATCATCACCATCTTCATCATCATTCACAATCTAGCACATCACAAATGACCAACATTATTACTACTTTTAAATTCAAGGGAAGAGGATGATCATCCAGAAATGTTGCTTAGGCTACACGTAAACAAGGAAAAATGTGTATGCATCAACCAAACATGTTTAGAAAACATTAAACATATATAATAAGTTGACAATTACCAATATCATGTCTCATGCCAGTAGAACAACCAAAAATTCACTTTTTTTGGGTTGTTAGGGGGTGTTAGGAACTGCTACAGAGAACCAGAAGGCAAGCAAAATTGTAGGCAAGTTGATATAAAGCAGCTTAAATGAATGTGAGTTCTTACATTAATACCTTTGGATTGAGTGAACCATGAAAGTATGTGAGGGCAAGTTGATGAGCTTTGAGACGTGACTGATGCCCACCCCATTCGTTCTCAACAACCGTTTGAAGAGCTGACCAACGAAACACAACCAAACCAATTCCTTCACTCAAAACTCTTTTGACTCTTCTTGTAGCCTTCTCGAATTCTCCATTCTTCTCTCTCTACTTTGTGTGTTACCAAAATCATAGTTATCAATCTTGGATAGGGTGCGCATAGCAGCCAACACAAAAAATACTATAGCGGGAAAGCTAAATAAAGATATATCACCTTTGTTTTTAACATTAGCGTAACTTTTACTTGTTTTAATCTATCACAGTATCCTATGTATAAAATGTATATATTTTTTTACATTTAAATCTTTTTAATGTATAGTATATGTAAATTACACTTTGGTCGAGATATACATCATAGTTAATTTAATTCTTAATAGTATATTCTATTTAATTAATTTTATAATCATAAAAAATTATTAATTTTTATATCTTTTAATTTATATAATACAATATAATGTTCTATACCTATAAAAAAATTTAATTATTAAATTATATGTATATTTATTTTAAAATAAAGTATATGTACAATGCACGGCTACTAAACAAGGTCAAATTAAAATTTTCCGTCAAGTTCAACATTATCCCACACTTGAGATGATAAATAGTTGAAATTTATGCACATAATCAAGTAACATTATTTACAACTTATTGGATGAAGTTTGTATTGAATATATTTCATGTTTATGCATGACATGAATTACACATTTGCCATTCATTTGTTGGCGTGACAATGGTATATTGAGTCGAGAACTAGCTTTATAGGTTCTCCCTCAAGACGTAAACTTATAAGATACATAAGCTCCCAATGCAGCAATCACCAGAACTGCAGCACCAATATTTGTAGCTAAATGTTTCTCTTGCTCATTCCATTTCCCTTCTGTTATTCTTGTGACAACTTGGGAAGCAGCACAAGCCAATTCTCTGATTCCGTTTTTTTCAGTGTCCCTGGTATCCTCTTTACTCTTTTCTTCCTTTTTGGGAGCAGTTCTAGATTCCTTTTCTTTCTTAGGAACTTTTGGAGCCGAAGATTCTGCTACCTTGGATGACAATTTTTTTGCCATGGTTTCTTTTTCTTTAAAACTACCCTTCTCCTTGTCTTTCACAGGATTTCTTGACTCAGAAGGCTTCCCATTATCTTCCTCTTTAACTTCCTTCCTTGAGATCCTTTCCGTCTCTTCATATTTAGCACCAGTTCCCTCTATTTTCTTTTCCTCTAACTGCTTTTGAACTGTTGAAAGCGTAGTCTTTACTCCAATGTCTGTTGGCTTTCTGGTAACAGTAGAAGGTGTAGGTTTTGGCTCACCTTCATCTTGACCCTTTTGAGGTTTCTCATTTGTTTTTATTTTGGTAGCCATTGTTGGTGCTGATTTTGGCCCAAATTCCTCCTGACTCTTTTGAGGCTCTTCATTTGGTTGCATTTTGGTTGTCATTGCTGGTGTTGGTTTTGGCTCAAATTCCTCTTGACCCTTTTGAGGCTCTTCATCTGGTTGCATTTTGGTTGTCATTGCTGGTGTTGGTTTTGGCTCAAATTCCTCTTGACCTTTTTGAGGTTCTTCATCTGCTTGTATTTTGGCTGCCATTGTTGGTTTTGGTTCAACTTCATCTCGACCCTTTTGTGGCTTACCTATTTCTGTGGATCTTTCTACATCTTCTTCTTGACCCTTTCGGGAGATATAGTCCTTAATTGGATCAGGAGGGATTTGAGACGATGTGTCTTCACGAGTAGCCGTTTGTGCCTTTAAGTCAGCTGGCTCTTTTACAGGACTTGGGAGTGAAGCACTTTTCTTGTCTTCAATTGGTTCTTCAACTTTAGTAGTTGTAGGTTGTGATGGAATCGTTTCTTGGCCTTTTTCGTAAGGCTTTGGTTCAGTTACACCTTTCTCTTGGGTTGTTTCTATTTCTGGTTGTTTAGGATCAACTTGGGGAGTGACCTTTGGCATTGTAATGATGAGAGTTCCAATTTCAAACTTTCCCTGAAGTTTCTCGGCCACAGAATCTACCGGAATAGGATATGATTGGTCAAATTTACTCCATCTGTTACCATGGATTCGTCTTTCTCCTGTGATCCTCACCATCCGTGAAGATTCCACATATGTAATCTTTACACTATCCCTTGAAAAACCTACAAAAGAAAGATAATATTGATTTGCATAGAAAAAGTAGAAGAAAAGCAGACTTAAGATATAGAGATAAACTTGGCAGTTATGTTATCCACTGGTTACACAAAACAACGTTAGTAATATATTGTTTGACATATTTTTAACAAAATTCTTATCATTAATTAAATTTTATATGTATTACGTAAACAAAGGGTAAATTCAATTTACATTATGAAAACACAATAGTACAATTGCAAATCTCCGTGCATTATTTTCAATCGATTTTGTAATATATAGTACAAAAGTATTAATACATTCTTCTTTTAAAATTCGAGTATTTTCAAATAATTTACATTTTTTAATTTGTTTCTAGAAACAATATGATAATCATAATTTAAAAAAATTTTAAAAATGTTTAAATTTGGATATAGATACTGAAGAAAGGCATTTAAGAATAAAAAAAATTTATGGAAGAGAGAATTAAAATTTGCTCACCGGGAATATAAACATGCAGAAGGTATGCCTCTGGGGTTTCTTTTGTCTCTGAGCGGGGCTGCATGACCTCATACACGCTACGACTAGAAGGTTGGGAACGGAAAGTTGGTGTTCTTGGTCTGAAAGCCATGGCTATACAATATGCTAATAGTAGTGTTTTTTAGGTGGAATGCTAAATAGTAATTTTGCACCTCACGAATTTGCTGCTAAATGCTTTGAATTGGACTTGTTGGGTTACGAATTTCTTTATATGCATATTTATATAAGGTCTGGTCATTGTTAGGATATAAACGGTTTTCTTGGCAAAGAGACAATTAATTCCTTCTTGTTTGTATATGCTTTGTTTTGTTAACGTGAATGGGTTGGGTATTGCCTTTTCCATGCCATAGGATAGAATTTTATATATATTATTATATGAGGTATAACTTCTTTGGCCAAGAAAGCAAATTGTTCTTTGTTTTGCCGGCACACTTGCACAGCTAGCCATGCAATGTTGATGCATCAAATACGGGCACGTAAAAATTCTTACATTTAATTTAAATCTTTTATTTAACTTACATTTAAAAATTAGTGAAATAATAAATTATAATTCAATAGATATAAATTAAATAAAGTTCAGATTGAGTGAAAGAGTTTTTAAAATTATACTAACATAAGAAAATAATTTTTTATATATATAATTAAATTTTAGCAGTTTAATAATTTTTATTATATAATTTAATTAAAAATAACGATTAATTAAATGTTTTAATCATAAAAATCAAATCTACAAAATTTAAATTAATATAAAATTATTTGATATTTTACTTTTACACTTCAAAATAAATTTTTTAAAATATATGAAAACAATAATTTAATTTCATTCTTGCAGTTATATTCAACTGGATTTATTAAAATTATATTTTATATAAAGTTACTAACATCAATTAAAATATTATATTTCAAAATAAAGTTCAAAAATTTTATAAATTTTATAATTAATTAATTTTTATTGTATTATTTTACTTTAATTAATGTACAACATGATATGTGAAATTTAAAATATAATAATTTTAATATCATGATCAGTTGAATATCACATAATTTAAAATTTAAAATATAATAATTAATGTAAAACATGATAAAAATTACTTTTTATAAATTATTTTTAAAAATATAATTTCACATAATTTGAAAGTTATATCAAATTATCTTTATCTTATTTTTATGTATATAGAAAAATAAATTTTATGTATAATTTTTTAAAGAGAGTAAGATGCCTTCCTTAGACTTGTCATAGTATTTTTATTTTTATTTTTATTTTTATTTTTATGGGGTTAATGATATTTATTATTGACCATAAGATTAGTTAACTATTATTTTTTTTACGTAATGATAAGATGAAGATGTTATTTATATAATATAAGTTGAGTGGTTAGAATAAAAAAAGTATTGAAAGTTATTTATAATAATATAATATCTATCAAGCTGAAAGAAAAGTTTTATCATACAAAAATATAATTAACTATATTACATTGTAGTGAATATTAAGCAATAATAGAAGATAAAAGTGAAAGAAAAAAAATCAAAATGTTACTGTAGATGAGTACAAGAAAAGATAAGATAAGAAATAATTGTATATATTTTTGGAGTAACATTTATAGTGAATAAAAATCATCTAAAGTAATTCGATCATATGCAAATAAGACTACTGAAACATCAATGAGTAGAATAGATGACATAGCTTTTAATCTAGTAAAAGGGATAAAAAGAGATTTAGAAAAAAAAAAGCTTAGAGAAAGTTATTAAAAGATATTTAATATAATAAATAATATTTATGAGAATTGAATTTTTAACTAAATTCAATATTATTATATAATTTATATAGCTTACCTCGTCCAATAAATAGAGCTTGATTGTTGTTATTATTATTATTGCACTTGTCTATGTCACGTGGCTATCTTCCTCTCATTAAATGATACTTTACATAGGATATATTAAAGAATATGCAAAGTTAGATAGTAAGTTATTAACTATTTTTTATAAATTGTAGTATTTTATAAGGATTTTTTTTAATACTTGCAATATTAAATAAGATAGTAAGGTATAAGGATTTTTTAATTAAAAAGTTTATAATTTAAGATAATTCAATGCATTGATAATATTAAATATTTTTACACTTATTTTAATAAAAGCTTGATATATATTTTTTTAACTATGTAATATTGCACAAATTAAAAATAAATCAATTTTATAAATATAACCAACTTAAAATTAACAATAGATAGACCATCACATTTTCATTTTACACATTTGCTTACTTAGAAAATAGAAATTCAATGCTTTAATTAAAAGAAAGGAGTGGAGCGAAAAGGTAAGAAAAACAAGTGACACTTAGTTGGTTAAAAATACATTAAAAAATAAAGTATTTTTTAAAGATCGATAAAAATAAGAAATTATATATATATATATATATATATATATACTATGTTATTATTTTCGTAAGCAAATGTACTTATTGAAAAGTAATAAAGTTATTCTAAAATAAAGTCTTAAAATATCATTTCACAATGATTATTTTCAAGTACTAAAAATTTCTTAATTTAATTGTTTGAACTTAAAGAATATAAAATTAAATAAAAATGATTCAAATATGAAATTAATTAAAAAGAATTAAAACAGCGCAACCGCTAACAATAAAATAATCTAAAAGAATCTAAGGCGTAAGATTTCACCTTATACTTTTCTACGTTCACTTTTAAATTAATTCTAATTTTGGTTTTCTTATCATTGCCAACCACTCATACTAAATTTATTAATATTCAATGGTCATGCAATGTTAATAATTTTTTTCTAAGCTACTAATCTCAATGGTCATGCAAGGTAAAAGGAAGAAAAATCATAAAAAAAACTTATTAGTTATTAATTTAATAACAATTAAAAGAAAAGAACTAAAATTGGTTCACCTAATCTTTTGTCTCATTTTATCTTATAGATCAATTAACTCTACGTGGTATGTTCGTTTACAAAATAATTAATTATGTTATGTTTAAAAGTTGTCTATTACAAACATACAAATATAGCACAATAGAATAAACACTAGTTTAGAAAGGAAATATAAAATTAATATTAATCACAAAGATCTCATAAAGTCATGTAAAATATTCACATAGTCCTAACTATATATTTAGCTAGACATAATATAATAGAGAACCAAAACAATAATAAATTAATCTATAATTATTCAGAAAGTAAATGCAAACTGGAAGAGTCTCTAATAAATAAGAGATGAAAAAAGCTTTAATTACAAGATAAAAAAAGCTCTTAATTACAAGATGTGATCTCAAAGCTCTAGTAGTCATCAGCGATTGGTCAAAATTAAGATTGAAGGTGTCAAAAAGAACTTAATCCTTATAAAAATTGTTAAGATATAGTCCATAACTTTTTGAACCTATTAAAAGTTGATTTTTGTTATCAATTGAGTTCTTTTAAGTGACTACTGAAGCTAACTAATGAAGTCTCACTCATCATTGCCATGTACTTGATAATTGTTTTTAATATTTGGCTTAAATAAGTAAATAGTCCCATAAATATATCTTCTTTTGGAAATATTCCTTATTAAATTTTTTTTTATTTGGTCCTTCAATTTTTTTTACGTTAGTTCTTGCCATTTTAAAAAATAGTAAAATGCTTATTAAGTAGACTGAAATCCATGAAACTATTAACATGCATGATTTTTTACTATTTGCTACTCAGATTTGGTAGTGGTGGAAAATGTTAAATGCTCGTTAGGTTGCAAAAGTTAGGGTTATGAAATCCTAAACTTTCCCTATCTTCTCTTGAATCACGCACAAACATAATCAAAGAAAGAGAACTAGAGTTTTGGAAAAAAAAAAAAAAAACACACAACATAGCAACCTCTAGATCACAATGGTCCACCTCAAATGCACAAAATAGGCTTTGTGGATGTGGAGATGTTGCAACGCTTATGGTGTCAAAGAGTAAAAGGAACCTTGGGTGACAATTATGGACTTGCCCTAATTGGAAAGTAATGCATTTTTGTTATTTTCTTGTAACAGATGAATGGGCGACAATTATGGACTTGCTAAAGTGATGATCTTCTATCATTTTCTCGTAATAGATATAGGATAATATGTTAATGCTAAAATAATGTGCTTCTGTCATTTTTATGTAATATATGAATGGTAGTTATAATTACTTTGATTGGATTGACCAAGAGGATAATGTTGACATATGTCACTGCTAAGTCTGTGTGTGTGTGCTTGAGCAATCAAATTGAAGGTGGAGAATTTACAGAAGAAGTTAGTAAGTGAAAGATTGAAATATTGAAAGGGAGAATTGTAATGAGTTTAGTAATTACTTATGGTATTTGTATGTTTTGTATGATGAAATGTCAATGTCAAGGTTAGGAAACATGTAACGGGAAGATTAATATAAGAAATGGAGTTTGTACTAGTGTGGGAAGGTTATTATGGGATTTGTATATTTTGTATGGCAATAGTCTAATCTCTTTGAAGAAATGAAATTCGTCTTAGTTGGTTCGCTTTACTTATCTTTTTTTTTTTAATTTAATTTGTTGGTACAATAAATTTTAGATGAGAAAGTGTATATCATTTTCTATGGATAGATGATTATCAATGGGACCCTGAGTATAGAATATTAAGGGATACTAATATTTGAGCACTTAATAAAGGATATAGTATAAAGGACCAATTAACCTTATTCAAATGTAATTTTAGGCTATATGAGAAAAGGCTCTACAGAAGGATTTTGCTTTATCTATCAAGACCTTAATTTAAGTCTGTGTGCATAAATATTTAACTTTTCATATTATGATTGATTTACATGAATCATAATCTTAAAAGAGTTTTTTATTTAAGTACTCTTATAATTAAAATTGAGGAAGTTAAAATCTTGGTTTAACTCAATTAAAAATCAAGGTTTATATATTCAATTAACTCAATTTTATTTGATGGACTATCTAAGTGATCAATTACTAGATTGGATAATTGATTATCAATCTATTTTGTTGGTTTAAAAATTAAATTATTTAATACAAAATCATTCAATAATCAATTACCAAGAGATTGATTGTAAAAATTGTCAATTTGTTAAAAGTTTATTTCCTTTAGTATAGAACAACTCAGTAGTCAATTACCAAGATCAGTAATTGATTACTAAAAAGTTTATTTAGTAATAAT